AGAGAGAGAGAGAGAGAGAGAGAGAGAGAGTGTGTGTCCGAATGAGAGAGAGAGCACACACACACACATACACACACAAACACACATACGTTTCCGAAACATAGCCCACTCCGTAAAGTTTATAAGTTTTCTGTTCCCAAGGAATCATTTCCAAACTAGGATGTAATCGACAGATGTAGATCTAGGCAATTTGCTCTCTTACCAGATCTTTTGTTGTCCGTTTAGATTTTATTAGAAGTTCTACTGATAAGTCTTCTGTTTTTAAAAAGGTTAACTGAGCTGACAAACCTAAAGCGAACAAAACAACGAAACGTCGACTGTCAAATAAAAAATGATATAGATCTATCTATATCTAGATCTATATGAACAAATAATTCAAGAGTCTTCAGCCATCAATCATGAAGTTCATAATTCGGAAGGGGTTCACGGCCTGCTTCACGCTTCTATCCACCGTCCATTGTACGTATCACACTTATTGCTTCCATGTTGTCTGGTACATGCAGATTTTTATCACGTTCAACAGCGGTACACAAGTCGTGCGACATAAAATCCCTATCAGATTGCATTTTGAAATTATAATAATTATCAGAAAGCTATGCCGAGTGAATGCCTCAATTTCCAAATAATCATTGTGGACAATTATTGTTGCGTCTTATAGTGCAATCAATAATTCGCGGCACTACTTATCCTCAACTATCTTTTCAACGGGTGAATCAATGTCACCAATACTTTACACAGCAGTTTGTATCATTATTTGTCTCAACTGAAATCATATTTTTCCACTATAATTGAGGCAATATCAAAGAGTCTACATAACAAGAGGGTCCACTCCTCTCTTTGAGCCAATTAAAAAGTGTCCTCAAAATTCGGTGGCGCCCTCTTCGCAAATGCGCACCCTTTGGGAACAGAGTTACTCTACTTGTGTTAAAAAAATCAAAGTGAAACGAAAAAGTTTTTAATTCGAATTTCGGAAGAACGCTTTTTAAAAAATGGTTACGCTGACAAAACACCTGTTCCGGAGGAAGGGGTAACTGTTTTCTTCGTTTAATATGACTTTAGAAGGAAAGGCGAGAGGTCATTGAAATAAAAAAAAACCCTAAAACTCCGCACTGAACGAATCCGAACAGCTGATGAACAGCAGTCGATCTGCGCACGCAAGGAGGTGCTATTCCTATTCTTCTTCTGGAGAAACGAAAGAGACTGCGGCGCCATCGGAAGAAAAGGGCGGACTTCCGGCGGACACTTTTTTGGTTGTGGACCATCTTGTTATGTACTATCTTTGGCTATATTAAAAAAGTTTTCTTCATAAATTTATGTGTGTGTGTGTGTGTTTGTGTGTGTACGTGTATGTGTGTGTGTGTGTGTGTTTGTTTATGTGTGTGTTTGTGTGTGTGTGTGTGTTTGCTTATGTGTGTGTTTGTGTGTGTGTTTGTGTGTGTGTGTG